CTTCTCTTTCTGCCTCCTCAGGCCAGCGCACACAAGGAAAAACAAGGAAGGAAAGATCGCTTGGAATGAAACTGCTGAAGTTCCTCTACCCGCCTAGACCTTTGGACTTGCTACACCCTTGGGTAGGTTCTCCATGCCATTGCTGTATTTCTTCCCTTCAGCTAATGATTCAGAAAAACTTCTCTTATGCCGTGGCCTCTGCTTCTTCCTGGCCCATGGGTGTGTAACCCAATACAGCCTGACTCTACTCTGTTGTTCTGGCTCTAATGTCTCCAACAGGACTTCACGTGAACCCAAGGCATCCTCTTGACTTGTACCCCAGGCTTCTCTGCAGTGGGGAACCTGGCTCCTTCTCTTCCCAGAACATGCTTTCTCTCACTCCTTGGCAAATACCTCGGTCCTCAAGATGACAGCGCAGCTGGGGACAGGTTGATACCTGCTGCTCTGTCCCACTGCAGGTGTACAGTGGTGACATACCACCTCTGTCTCAAGGGTCCTCTGAGCCCACTCCTCAGCTCACTTGAAGCCAAGACCAGAACACAGAGGGGTTGATGCTCCAGGAGCAAGCAGGGGATGCAGGTGGGAGCTGAGTGACAGATGTGACAGAGAAATGGCTTGTCCTTGCAAGGGAAAGAAATTTTGGGGAAAGTTCTATGAAATGCTCCCCATGGTTCCTGAGGTCCTAGCGGGCCCCTTCGCAGTGAACGTATGTACTCTGTAATGGCCTTCCTCTCTCCTCGTTTGCCCCTCAATAAAGAAATCTCCCTGAAAGCAAAGACTTCCCAGAGCCAGCACCAGCCTGGCCCGCTGGCCCATGCTTAATAAAAGCTTGTGGATCAAAGAAGCTGTGTTCATGCTGCTTTCATCAGACTCTGAGCGAAGATCTCTGGGCCTCCCTCCTTGTGGGCTCCTCCCCGCATGGGCTTTGGTCAGGATTAGGTCCTGAAGTCCATGGTTTTCTCTGCACCAAGGCACCAGAGCCATGGGGCTCAGTGGAAACAGGGGCAAAGAGCCGCCTCTGTGGCCACTTCGGCCCCGGTGTGGCTGTAGCTAAACTTGTTCTCCGCCTGCTCTCTTCAAGGAGTAAGACTTGGGCAGTGGGTCAGTGAGAACACCTGCGCTGCCCTAGATCGGCAGCTGCGGGGAGAGATCCTCACACACACACTCTCTGCTTCTGAGATTTCCAGACTAGCCCAGAAATGGCACACAGGCCTGCCAGATAGCATCTGTGGCTTTCGATGCTGGGAAGGACCCAGGCACGGCCACAGATCAGCCGAGGGAAACAACTTCCACCCCAGCCAAGTAGGACAACTCCTAGCCTGGGGTGCATTTGCCCAGCTTCCTCCACCCAGGTCCTGGCGACCAAAGGAGAAAAAATGGTCCCAAAGCAGGACCTTGTCCTCAGGTGACAATTTAGTGGGAAAATATGTCCAAACCTTGACTTCTGGGGCACAAATTCCAATCAATAATAACAATAGTTATTAAGAAAATTAGTTCATGGTAGCCTCGCTTGGTTTGCCAGGCTTGCTGAGCATTTTGAAGGCATGGAATTCTTTACTGCCTACAGTCACCCTGGGGTGACACCCTGGGGCCAGCTCCTACCAGCTCACAGAGGCCTGTGGTTACACTTTCAGGAATTTTGCAAGCTGGGTGTTCAATATGGCCAATATTAAAGAATTAAATTACATAAATTCACAATAAATTACATTGAAGACAAAAGCAATAAATACTCAAAAGTCATCACTTCCCAATGGTCTCCCAGTGTCCCATTGTCCTCCACATTCTGTGGTGGATCCCGCCCATCGTGTCTTTGTGGTGGAAATGTACTGCCCTGGCTACCAGGCATCCCTTCCAAGAGCTTCACTTGGTGACGTCACTGCGGTCAAGGACAAAGGCTGCAGGTCAGGGCTTGCTTTTTTTGTTGTGGCTAAAATTTCCCAGACTCAAGAAAGGAATGCAGCGAACATTTATCATCTAATTCTGCAAAAGTCTGTCATGCTCTTGACAAAAGCAAGCTTATACATGCTCCCCACATACTCATTTTTACCTTAATACAAGGTAAGCAGGGCTGGTAAGACAGCTCAGCAGCATAAGCTCCTGCCTGGCAAGCACAAGGCCCTGGGTTCAATCCCCAGTACCACCATAAACCCCCTCCCCCCATGAAAAAAAGGTGAGCAAAAAAGACTAACTTCCTGGCAGACAGGGCACCCAGAGAGCCAGGTGTGAAACATTTCCTAGTCTGTGTGGCCTCCCAGGAGGAGGGCACCCCATGAGCACATTTTACAGTGGGGACACAGAGTCCTTCCAGCTTCTGCCCAACCACACAGAAGTCCCCAGTGTCCCCTAGAAGAGCAGGGTGGGAGCTTCTTCCTACAAGCCCTTGCGTAAGTTGGATCCTCTGACTGAGGAACCCTGGAAGGCTTCCTGGAGACGGTGACACCTCTGCCTGATGCTGAGCAGTTTGCAAAGGTATACAGCAAAGACACCCCACAGAGCCCAGCTACCCCGCCTGCCCCAGAACTCTCTTTTCTGCATGCAGAGTGACTGCTACTCAAACAGCCCACAGTCAGGGAGGCCCTGTCTGTCCAGCGCCCAGTGGGGGATCTCTGTAACCACGCAAGCAGCAGGATCAGGCACATGGCTCGGCTTTGAGACCCGCAGTCATGCTAGCTGTGAGCCGCATGCAGTTGCTGCCCCAGAACTAAGTCTGACCTACAAAACTAGCAATTTCATATGTTCCAACCTAATAGCCTCTCTGTGCTTGTGTAAACGAGGTTAATAGTGGTGCCGCTCTCCAAGGATTGCTGGGAGAGTAAGTGAGTTAACACCTGCGCGCCCACCTGGGCTGGAGCCTGGAACGCAGCTCACGGGTGGTGACAGCAGGCAGCACTCACGTGGTACCTGCTAGGTTCCAGCACTGCCCAGGCACATGCCCCGCCCAGCTCTGCCAGCGCCCCTCCTCCTCACCAAGGAGAAGGCTGAGCCACAGTCAGGTGAAAAACTCACTGAGTCTGCAGCACAGAGGTGGCATGCGTGTTTTCAACCCAGCAGTCTGTGCGGCCACTCGGACCCCCATGGGCTACTAACACTCCCGACCTGGGATGCTCCCACTGGGCGATAAGGGGACCCACTCCCCTGGAGGACTCAGGGTGTGCACTTGTGCAGATGTGAGTAGGGTGGGCAGGTGCAGGCCTGGGGGGGGGGTCAAGGTGGGCAGGCAGCTGGTCAGGGAGCCCATGAGGCGACCCACAGAGGCTGCCACCTGTGAGGCATTTGCTTACCAGTGCCCAGTGGGGGTTCGGGGTTGCCAACTGGGCTGGTGGGCAAGGTCAACAGTCAGAGAAATGAAGTGGCCTCAGGCCTGTGGGGCACTCCGCATCTGTCATGGAGTGGCGGCCACAACCTTTGAGGGACACTGAACTCCTCTTGCTTCCACCTTCACTGTCTCACCCAAATCAGCCTGCAGCCAATCCCAGCTCAGGACCCACAGAGATGGGGATTCTGGGAAATCCGTCTAGCCCATCCCCACAGTAGCCAGTCCTTGGAAGGTGGCAATTCTGAAGATCACATCACTTGGTAAGTCCAGAGAGAAGTGTCTGGGCTTGCCCTGCACATTTTCCATATCCCCTTTTCCTGCCCAAAGCACTGAGCAGAGCCCATTCCTCAGCATGACATTCTGTCCCCTGCCCAAGGGATACCTGCCCCTCAGCCCCTCTTTCAGGCATGGCCCTATTTGATTTGCCAACTGCAAGCAAGCAAGGACTTTCTGGACGCCAAGCCATGACAGAGTGTTCCCCTGGCCAGCGGTGCCCCGCTCACTATTGCCCATCCTGGTCTGTGGAGCTGGCCTGTGTATCCATCCCACCTCCCACACAGCTAGCGTATCAGAAGAAGCTGACAGTGTCCTTCTCAGGGTGGGTCCTATTAGTCCAAGCCAACAGACACAGGACAGCCATGGTGCCTTCTCATACCAGGGACAGGTTCTTTTCTCAAACCCACCCAATCCCATAGTAGCCCACACTGAGGAGACTGCTGCTCCTTCTCTCCCCACTGCCCGGTGTTCCCACCACCAGCTCATGTCTGCAGGATCATCCACAGCAGCAAAAGAAAGAACCTGAGCCTGGTGCTGTGGTAGAGCTGCTGGCAACACACTACCTGGGCATAGGATTATTCTTGTCATCACCAGTCATCGGCAAAGCACCCTGACTCCTAAGCCTGCTTCCTGACCACATGCAAGGCTTGCTCTCTGAGGCCTGTGCCAGTGTCATCTCTTGCGAGAGTCCCTCCCTTGTGTGGCCACAAGGCTCTCAGCCTGCACCTACTCCACTGCTCTTCCCCTCTGAGTTCCTGAGCTCTTCAAATGCAGATCCTCTTGCAGGACTAGAGCAAGCAAATGCGTCTGCTGACTGTTGACTCTCATTCATCCCCCAGGCATTCAGCAAATGTTTACTGAGTGCATCTAACACAGCGATGACCAGGCAGGCGGACACATGTGCAGGAGCCGGGGGAACAGATGAACACGATGCTAACAGACGTGCCTCCAGACAGAGGCAGGACACAGCCCAGCAGAGGGAGGAGCCTGCCTTGGGCTTTGAGGCCCTGTGCTTCTGGGGAGGAAGCACAGAGGAGCACAGAGGCAGAGGACCGAGCAAAGAGAATCCCATGGGCTGATGCCAGGATGCGAGGACGGGCTGCTGCAGAGACAGAAACCACTCCTCCTGCTGCTCTTAAAAGGGAGCAAGTGAGCATCGCCCCTCCATTCAGCTCACACAGGCAGGGCTTTGGGCAGATGTTAACATCAGCTGTGGAGCCACAAGTCCAAGACCAGGCACAAGAGGCCAAGGACATTGGAGGCAGAGGGCCATGGCCCTTCAGCTGCTGGAGAGGCTGTACTAAGCTTATGCAAACAGATGGATCCTGGGTCCTGAGCAGTTAAATAGCTCGAGTAGGGGAAGAAAGGCGAGCGCTTGCTCACAGCCCACGTGTCAGGCAGGACTCACGTTGTCAGTGATAGAAACCAAACTCCACATTGCTGGGGCCCAAAGAGGCTCTCTTCGCTCACAGAATCCAGAAGGCAGCAGGATGATGAAACACAGGACAGCAGGAAATGGCTGGGCCTCAGAGCCACATGAAACTTCTCTGTCTCTCGTCTCCGCTTCTCTCTTCATGGGGCTCCATCCTTTCTCCCTGCAGCCAGCTCTAAGTAAGGCCCAAGCACAGACTGTTTGCCTGAGACAGACCCAGCTTGGAAGTGTGCCCAGCGCAGAGCCAATCACGCACAGCCACATGACCAAGGGCATGTGACCATCTCCAGAGGAGCCAACCAAGGACAAGGAAGCAGAGTTCTGGAAAAGCATGGAAGCACTTAGGGGAGCCTAGTGGTGGGAACAAAGGCAGTAGACATTTCTAGAGGAAGGAAGATGTTAAAAACAGAGAAATGTCCCAGATAAAGTGAGCAGAACTTCAGCAGCATGATCCCAGGTCAGAGGGCAAAAGGCAGAGAGATAAGAAGACATGGTGTAGAAAACCAGATACAGAGGTTTCCCTTCTTTGGGACTGGCCAATCCAGGTGGCACATGCTGCTAAAGCCTGGTATGCCACTCATGACAGACATCACCAATTGATCGCCGTAATCTCTTCCAGAGAACTTGGGCTCAGCCTCAGAATCTTCAGCCCAGCCTTCCAGGCAGACATGACCAGTCAACTACAGCTGGCAAATGACACAAATACAATCCATCTGCGCATAGTAGTACTATGTAACACAAATTGTATGGGGTCTTTGTCCCTGGTTCCTAGCACAGAGATTCGAAATCACTTAGAATTTCCAGAGTGATAAGAAAGTCTTTTGTTGGTCACAATGAGGCCCTCTTAGTCTGACTTCCCTTTTTTTGGGGGAGGGGTGTGGAACTGGGGATTGAACTCAGGCCCTTCTACTTGCCAAGCAAGTGCTTATTCTACTGAGCCATCTCCCTAGCCCCTCTTAGTCTGGTCTTCTGCCAAGGTGGTGACTCATGGTGAGTCCCTAGACAGACTCAAGGGGAAAATAGGTCACACTGTAAAAATCATGCACATGATTAGGGGGCTGGAACTTTCACCCACTCCTCAGCCCTTGGGGAGGAACTGGGGCTGGAGATCAAATTCAGTCACGTGGCCGATGATTCCATCAATCATGCACACACACACCCAAAAGAAACCCCAGCTAAAACCCTGAAATGATAAGGCTGGTGTGGTGGGTCCTGAGCTGCTGGGAGGGTGCTGCACCTGAAGACCCACGGGAGGGGTTGTGTAAGCCCTCCGTGCCTTCCTGTCCCCAGGCCCTGGCCTGTGTGTGTCCTTCTCCTGCTGATCGCATGTATCATGCATAACAAGACAGCAGCCATACACCAGCTTTCTGTTCAGGGTTATGAGACATGCTAGTAAATTCTCAAACCAACTCAAGGGGTATGGAGGCCCTCAAAGTGGTACTGCATAGGCAGAAGTTCATCTGGAGTCAAGGAAAATTAGATCAGACTCCATCACAGTTGAGAACTGGAGTTGGAAGTTTCCAGCAGCGCCCCACATGCTGCTTCCTGATGTGGACTCTCAGAAAGGACAACACCAAGCACCCACTTCAGCCCAAACCCATGAGAACTGCCAAATCCAACCTAGTGGCCAAATTTTTAAATAAAGTTTTATTGGAACACAGCCACACCTTTTCCTTTACATCTCAAGAATAGAATAGCAGAGCTGAGCAGTTGCAACAGAGACTGTGGCCCACCCAAGCTAAGCTGTTTATTTTCTCATGCTTTGTGAAACAAGTTAATGACCCAACCCAGAGCAACAGAAGGTGCTATCCAAAGCAGCACGGTAGCCCTCAAGCCCCTCTCCAGCCTCTTATCTTATTCTGAAGCCTTGAGTGCGCACCACAGTCTCCCATCTCCAATGCCTATGTGAACACGTTTCCCATAAAATGTTTACTTTACTGACCCCAGTCAAGGAAAGATACCAAAAAGAGGCTCTGCGTTTATTTGAGCATTTTAAAGAAGCTTCAAATCTGGGTGAAATCAGGCTTTTGCTAGGCAGGAAGAAGATATTTTTTGACATCTTCCAAGTTTGAGGTCAGCAGAGGAGATGAACAGTTGGTGTGAGACTGGGACCGAGGGTCCAGCACTGTGGGCCAACGGCAGAGGCTGCTTACGCACTTGGAGGGACAGCAGTGAATCGGCCAGGGTTCTCCAGGGGAGGAAAATGGACAGCAAATATATGCATAATCCTGCTAGAGGATTAGATAAGTTTACGGGGTCAGAGCCATCAGCGTCCTCAATGGCCATGTGCAGCTGCGGGACTGGGGGGTCTGGGGTCTGCTCAGCACCAGAAGATGGAAGCTACAGAGCACAAAGAGTCCTGGAAGTAGCCCCAGGCCAGGGCTGGCTGCCTGAAAGCATCCTGGAGTTTAGGTTAGAAGACCAAAGAAACCAGAGGCAGGGAGGCTGATGTCTCAGAACACGGCAGCACAGGGCACCCTCCCCTCACTCGAGAAGACTGAAACTCTTCAAAGGGGCCTGTGCCCTGCTTTGCCTTTTCTTTCTGTTTTCCAGCCAGGCTACAACCCTACCGCTTGGTTCAGGGCACAGCTGGGGCGGTTTTCCCTCCCATGAGGGTCAAGCATCCACAGACACACCCAGAACCATGCTTCATCAACCTGCTAGGCATGTCTGACCCCAGTCAAGCTGACTTATCACAAGTCACAGTCCCAGAGAGTGAGAAGACCCCAGGAGGGGTTAGAGCACCCAGTCAGGCACCACTTGCCTGGAGCATGTGCAGGCAGCTATCCAAGCATCCTTGGGATGGTGCCACTGTGTGTTGATCATTTTTTTTAAAAAAATCAGCAAATAGCACTGTGTGGGGCGCTGGGGCCTCCACTAACTTCCAAGGAAAACTGACCAAACAGATGGACTCTGAGGTGCTAGGACCATGTGGTAGGCCTGTGCCAACCTTACCCACAACACTCCTGTTGACCTCTTTCATGCTTTGAGAAAAGGGATCTTCTGATAAAATGCGGTTTGGAGAACTCACAGATATAAATGTTTCCCTCAAACTCAAACATTTATGGGAACAGACGGATAGCACACAAGAGCACATCCGGCCAAGGCAGAGATGACAGGGAGTGCTGGGGCCTGTGGTGAACCGTCTTTAAGAAACAGGTGTCCCTGAGATCTAGCCTGGTAGAACTGCCAACCCAGTTCATCCAAGTCTTGTAACTTTTCAGTAGATCTGGCATTTGGTGGGGTGGTTCGCAACTATGGAGACATGCACAGGTCGAAGCCATTCATCTCTGTGAGCCAGGTGCAGCCAACAGGCAGTGAGTCTACAGCTCCTGGCCTGGGCACTGCCTTGGAGAAAACCCAGCCGGAATAGGCTGCTGTTTCTTGGAATTTGTTCCACAGGATGACTCCGGAAGCCACCTGGAAGACAGGTGCTCCAGCCTGGCTGGGGGCCGAGCCATACGAAGTTGGATAGGACCCTAATCCCTTAGCAGCATCTGCACCGTGGTCCCCATCCCTGGTCAGCAGCAGGTACCCGGGGTGGACGGGCACTACAAGGGAGGGGCGTGGCCTTGCGGACCTCCAGTGAAGGGTGGCGCCTTTTGCTAGGAGAGCAGCCGGAGCGGCTGGTGTGAGTGGTACAGGGGAGTCTCCGGATCAGCCAGTCCCAGGCTACAGCCGGCCCAGGAAGCCCAGCCCCGCTCCTCAGGGGGATGACAAATGACCACTTCCCTCTCTGCTCCTTGGCACGCACAGGAGGCGAGGGAGCCCCATCGGAGAGGAGCGGGTGCCCGGGCCCGGGGCTGTCGGGTGGGATCATTAACAAGATAGATGTTCCTAATGGCTCCAAGAAGGATCATGGAGCTGCTCATTATCAGAGGTTGCAATCGCTAATTATTCGTCTCTCTGCAGCTGTCACTCCCCGCCCACCCAAACCTCCCGCCCCAGCAGCGGCCCTTTCTCTTGCGGCCGACAGGGGGCCGCCAGCACGCACGGCCGGCCTCGGGGCTGGGGGTAAAGCCTTCTTCCTGCATTAAATACTTATTAAAGTTGATTAGAACTCAATGCACCATAAAATCTCTTTCAAGTCAGTGAAATGCCTTTGGCTACAGATTTCCCCCACCACCACCACCAATTCTATCCAAAAGGAGCTCCCAGCGAGTATTGGGCAAAAGAGAAGAGGGCTTGCGGGGGGTGGGGAGGCGCGGGTGCGAGTGCGGAAGGGGAGGAGGTGGCTTAGGAATATTGATGGGAGAAGACCGCAGAGCTCGGGAGAAGGGGTGTCAGGGCGCAAGGGGGAGCACAGATTCCGGTGGGGCAGGGATTCAGCCGGATGCTCGTATTTTTAGGAACCCTGGACCTAAAAATATGAGATGCGGCGTTCTTTAAAAGCGATCTAGGCCCTATTTACATTTCAGAGCAAACAGCATATTGTTTTCATCAGGGGGAAATAAGCACTCATGTTTACCTTATGTTTCCTTCAAAATATTTGCATTTCAAAGCCTTCTGAGCTTTAAGTTTCAGAGCACAGGGACGCAGGCACCTGGGCTTCTCCCAGATGGGCTGTGTTTACAGCTAAAATTCCTATCACCAGGCCGGGACAGCACCCCGAAACAGGATGGGGGCCCCCCAAGGATGGAGCGGTGTCTCCTAGGGACACTGCAGCTGGAGCCAAAGCTGGTGGCCAGATGACAGCTGGGTGCAGCGGCTGAGCCTCAGAGCTGGCGGCCCTCGCTGCCTCTTCCCCGCACGGGGAGTGGACTGCGCCGTCCACACAGAGCGAGGCCAGGCGGGAGAAGAAACCAGGCCTCAGGAAGTCTCTGACAGTGGCTGCAACCCAGAGGACAATGGCATCATCCCTGTGCCCAAGAGCTGGCCCCAAACCCACAACCCCCTATTCTCGCCCCCAAACCTTCATTCATTCACTCAACAAGCAAGTATGGAAGGCAGGCACTCTGGGCCAGGTGATAGGCAGGGACACAGGGACCAGGCCACAGCAGTGAGCAGAGCCAATCAGAGCTGGCACACTTCGGCCGTCGCTGGATGCCAGCCACTGCCCTTGGCTCAGCATCAGAACCCACAAGTAGTCTCATGAACTCCCTCAGCCAAAGCCACGCCCTGGCCCAGAAAACTCCTCTTCTCCTCTAGTTTTTGCTGCCCTCACTATAGAGGCCAGTGTAA